ACATTTCTTCGGCAACCACTAGTAGATTAATGCTGCGTTTGCTGTAAAGCGTGTGCTAGGTATGACAGAAATTATCTACATGCAGTTTTGTAACGGTGTGAGCCCTTTAATCGTCTGAAAAATATCTGGTAATTATCAGCAAAAATTTCCTTCTTCTAATTTTATCCTGCTATTGCATAACATAACCATGAACAAACACCAAGCTGCTCTTCTGCCAAATTTATTCTGAAGTTTTATTCCTGTTTCTTGCATCTTGATGCCATTGGTTACGATATTTTGTTTTAAATATAATTTTTATTAAAATTGAAAAATCATAGGTTAAATTTTGATTTTCAAAAAAGTTAGATTATAATTACATGCCAGGTAAACCATATTATGCTTAGCGTGAGAACAGTTCCAGTGACCATTGTCTTGCTTGCAGTTTTGCGCTTTACGGACTTCAGGCGTTTCCCCTAGTATCTACAGCAAGTCAAATATTACCTATGTATTTTTTGCACGGTGATTATCGTATTGCAATCTGCGAAGTGCTCTTCTGCTAGTGATGCAGTCTCCTTGACGACTACGACATGCTCGGCACGGCTGACACCGGCCCGGAGTAGATTGTCTAGGCTGAATTCTTGTCTTGTATGGGGTATGGCTCGACACGAAAACATTTCTACTTACACCGAAATCCTACCCTGCATCCAGTATATTCCAGGGAAGTAAGAGATGGCATCTAGAAATGCGGGATTTGGACTTGATGTTTCCTCTAGTTCTAGCAGCAGAACGATAGGATGTAACTCATGAACAGGGCGGTAGTATGCTCTAAAAGCATATGATTAAAATTCTAAAAGAAACCTTTTAGTCCGGCCTGTATACTGTAGAACTCTTATGCTGTACCTCAAAGGGATAATGAGATTATACATTCCATTGCTGGTCCTGTCAGCAGCCAAGATAATCGGTTTGTTCATCCATTGATATTCGTAAGCTGATGTGTAGGGGCAGTGTTCGCAAGGCTGTAACATATCTCATCATTTCAATCAAAGTAAAGGTGTAGCACCTTATCTAATTGTAAGCAACATAATGGTCTCTTCTCCTTTAGCATATGACAGATAGTATTTGATGTACCTATGTAGGTGCGCACTTGTGGATATGTTCGCTGTATTCTG